GGCTGCGAACCCGCGCCCCGCAGATTGCGAGTCGAGCGTCTTAACCACCTGGCTATGCCGGGGCCCTAACCACCTGGCCATGCCGGGCTCACACAAGCTTGTTACAATAAAAATTGCATTGGACGATGAAGGAAGTAGTTTGAAGAGCAGCACAGAACCAAGAACATCGTTCTTGATACTAAACCAGTAACAAAACACTGAAAATATCAAAGTTACGGCCAAAGTAATAACAAAAAAAAAAAAATTGTATATTTTCTTCTGTCAGGTGTTGTATGTTTTATATCTTAATTATTTCTTATAGTAAACTACTTCAGTCCATACATATATCTCCAACAAAACAGCGTTATGACTTCAAGAACTTCTCAAGACATCGTGCACCACCTCCACAGTATATCTCTCGTATGCGTAATATGTGGTAGCTCAAGCTGAGATTATAACAAAAGTCACCACCCAGTGACCAGCATTTAAATAATTGTTTATAATGGTAACAATTTTGTATTTTTTCATACAAAATTATGGAATGTTATATATAGGTGGTGAAATAATAACTTGTTTAACAACATGTTTAAGTTATATTCACAAGGAAAGGGAAGTCGTTTGTTTGAAGTTAAGCATAAAGCTACACGATGGGCTATCTGTGCTCTGCCCACCACGGGCATCGAAACCCGGTTTCTAGCGTTGTAAGTCCGCAGACATACCGCCATGCTACAGGGGGCCAGGGAAGTCGTGTCGGAGTCAGTGATTTAAAAAATAACAAAAAAGGTGTAAATTTTAAATAAATTTAATAGCAACCGTAGAGGGTTAGTCAACAGCTGTCTAATAAATAAATTCCTTTTGACCTTGTCAGCTTTTCTTTTTCGTATTGCTAACTTCTACAGTAAATAAAATCAATAAAATATATATGTAAAATGACAATTTATTCCACGTGCCAATTTCCTAAACTCTAATGTATGGTGTAAAGTTTGTGTAATAATAACAGTGAAATTTTTATTATTAACATTTACTTAGTATATTTAGTTAATTACACTGTAGTCTTGTTTTATCTATCTCTCAGTATGCACGCGCACACACACAGAGGGTTGAATATGTTATATTAAAACGATCTTCGAGTCTTATAACGTCGTTACAGTTCATGTAGCCATATCCGATCATGCTCTATCTGACGACTGTGCATCCTGACAATAGCCCTGCGGTGGTTTCACTGCAAAAGCTTTGGTATAAGGCCGTTACATCCAAAGAACGCCACTCTTCTCTGCTCGCTTTCCATAATCCATCTAGTGCACGAGGATGCAATTTTCCAGTGCCCATTTCAAAATTCCATTTACACAGAAATCTGCTGCATCCTGCTACTTGACTGGTACGTCTTCTTGTCGAATACTATGAATACCCGCGTCATTCCCCAGCTAAATGAGGTATTACTGTAAGCCTTATCTTAGTGAACTCCTTTCCAGATGGATATCATTTTTAATCATGTTGCATACTGTTACCAGGGTCATGTATGTGGCTTTTTCCACCAAATTCAGCTTTTCATCTGTTACAAGACGTCAAACTATACTTACCAACTGAAGCACGACTTGTCGTAATCTCTTTCTGGATAGTCTTGGTGTCCCAAGTTGATCAATATTCCTCTATTTTCCAATAGTATTAAGTACAAGGGATATCCTCGCCTTGTAAATTGTAAATATCCAATTTGAAAAAAATTTATGACCCAAGTGCATGAATATTTTTCTTCGAAAATGGCAATTATATACCCTTCTTAACAGTGGCTAATTTTCGGTGTCATCATAATACATACGAAACAACAAAAAATATCTAAATGTAGTTTTGATACATTCCGCTCCACCGTAACTTTATATCCGATATGGGTGTCACGTAATTTGCCGATTTCCATATTCAAAATCGTTGATATAACGTACACAACTTCATATGCAGACGTAACAAAGAGTTAGTAAAGCGAAATTCTGTGGAATTTTTTTGGGAATAATACAGAACAGTAAGGATATTAACATATTCTTTGTTGATAAAACTGAAACTATACAAGC